ACGGTCTTCTGAAGCCGATAAAAGTAATGAATTTCCTGAGAAATATCTGAATATTGTTACACTGATAAAGGGCACTTAATCAAAGTCTCAAGTCTGATACTTTTTTGGTCGTCGTTCAATTCTTATGGGATTCAGAGAATACGAAATTGAGTTGTGTAGGTAAATGGTTTGCCTGTAACTTTAGCTTTTATTACGAAACTTTTGACTCGTTTTATTTATCTGTCGGGTCTTGAGCAGATGTAAATCAAACTTAAATATCAGTCACAAGATTGAAATATGGAGATTCTATTGCATTAGGTAGAGCAACTTGTTCAAAACTTCATCATCATCATCATTTCAGCTATGTGTGGATGTCCGTCCACTGCTGAATTTAGGCCTCCCCTAATGATTTCCACAATGGCCGGTTGGTGGCGGCCTGCATTCAGCGCCTTCCCGCTACCTTTATGAAGTCGTCGGTCCACCTTGTGGGTGGACATCCTACGCTGCGCTTTACGGTACGTGGCATCCACTCCAGAACCTCGCTGCCCCATCGACTGTCAGTTCTGCGTACTATAATTATGCCCTGCCCATTGTCACTTCAGTTTGCTAATCCGTTGGGCTGTCAGCGACTTTAGTTCGTTTATGGATCTCTTCATTTAAAGCCACGATAGCCGAGCGGTGAAGGGGTCGAACTGGCCGACTAGTGATCCGAGGAACGCGGGTTCGGTCCCCGCCGCCGCTCGACTATAAGTGGTGAGCTCACTCGTGACACAAGCATATTTAAGCTTAGTACGAGGGGCTAATGGGACTATTAGTAATTTGTGTAATAACAAATTACTAATAATCTTAAAAAAAAAATTCTGATTCGAGCATAGCCATCTCCATAGCACGCTGTGTAAAACTTATAGTGATCAAAATCATTTTGTAGTGCGGTTTGTTCGAAGCTAGCACTAAATATTTATTATTGCACTTTTGACTAATCGCACCGACCTATTTTCATAGAATGTTTTCTTTTTTCAGCACCCTAAAGGCGATAGAAACAGGTGTACTGAAAAGATATACCTCCTACGACGACTATCATCCGCTGAAATGTGAGACAGTTCTGCACCAGGAAGTCAGAATCGAACACGTTTGTTTGCCTCTGATAGCATTGGTGGCCGTTTTTGGGATTTCATTCATTATCATGATTTTGGAGATACTATTTTATGAGTATACTAAGGTGTGGCCGTTTGTAAATTGATGGAATTATTTTGCTTGAGACGTTTTTTGCACTTTAATCACTTGAAAATTTTATTATGTCTTGAAAAGCTAGTTATTACACCATCACCTTTGAAACGTTCGTTCATGTTTATGAGATTAGAAACATTAGCGCTTAAAGTACAATAAAAGTTACAATTTAATACAAGCAGACTTTTTACGAGTTGGTAATAATACAAAAAAGTGACGAAAATAATCCAAAATTATTAGACGATTTTGTCTTTTGTAGAAATATTTCGTCTATTTCTGCTTGCTTTGTTATCTTTAACTGTGAAGCTTAGTTACAAAATGTCAGAGATTGTCTCTATAGTCCAGTCAATAAAGCATTATAGATGGAAATCCGTGGAACACAATTTTTGACTTCGGGACTTTATTTAGACTAGTTAGGAGGTGAACATAGCAAAAGTCCCCGCCCTTAGCCCTTGAGCCGGCGGGGAGAGGGGGGTTTAAAGGTGCCACTTTTCGGTTTTTCGCTTAATCCTCGGAAACTATGCGTCCTAGTGACATGACTACTTTGAACCAAAAAAAGCATATTCAATTTGCTACAGGTGACATAGACAAGTTTTTCTATAAATTGTATAGTTTTCGCGGCATCTGCTCTAGATCAAAGTCTGTAATATTGGAAATTTTATTTTTGTCTTACATGTTCCCAACAGGAGAAAATCGACTAAATCAACATTGAGCAAACATTCTAGATATGCGGGAGCATGTTAAGCCTAGTTCCAGCGAGGGGACTACACCGTGCGTATATTTAGACGAATCACTTTGAGCCACTTTTGACTCCTCATCACTCAAAAACTACTGTGCATTAACACTTCAAATTTGGCTCATGTGTTGAGACTTGCAAGATATACATCAGTTTCAAATTTCATAAATATGCCTCAAACGGTTTTTTAGATATTGACGTCCAAAAATCTACATGTCTGACCTATAGACCAAATTCTAACCACTTCCAGATGACCTCGAAGGTTCAAATTTGGCATCCAGAAAGGTAGTTATGTAAATACAAAGGAACAAGTAAAAAACTAGTAAATTTTAACATTTCACATGTGATAGATAGATTTTAGTGCACTAAATATCGATTTTTGAACGTCAATACCTAAATAACCGTTTGAGGTATATTTATGAAATTTGAAGCTGATGTACATCTTGCAAGTCTCAATACATGAGCCAAATTTGAAGTGTTAATGCGCAGTAGTTTTTGAATGATGAGGAGTCAAAAGTAGCTCTAATTGGTTCGTCTAAATATACGCACGGTGCAGTCACCTCCATGGAACTAGGCTTAACATGCTCCCGCATGTCTATAGTGTTTGCTTAATGTTGATTTAGTCGATATTCTCCTGNTAGAAGTCTTTTTATTTTCCTGGAATGAAAAATATTTTTGCTCTCTGTGTTAAAGTAGATAAGTTTTTATTCGAGTGTGCTCCTATTTCTATTTAAGATTGGGAAAAAGAGGATTATTCATTCGGTGTGTATGATTTTTGATATCGGTACGAATATGTATTTAGCATTATACGAGTATAAACATGGACTGTCCAATCGAATCTAATCCTAATCCTCTTTGTAAAATAATTAATTAGAACTACTTAGTAGAAGAATTAAAAAAAACTGTTAATTAATATAAATGTTATAGGAAAAGCCCAAATGTTTATCCTCTTGTGATATACTCGTAGTGACTTTGCTAAGTTTCTGAATATTTTTCGTATGTTTTCTGAACCTTGAAAGTTAATACAAGTTAGGTATCTGTTTTAACAAACTTTTGTAACTGGAAAAACATAACTTCTCCACTTTTAGTTTCTTCAATATTATGCGAAAACATTGTGGGGAGTAATGACATTTGATTTAAATTTTATTTTTCCATGAACTACCTATCTAAAATCTACGAGTATTTATTCAAAGAGTTTGAACGTGAGCTGCGACAGCAGAGTAGCCAAAAAGTTCGCAACGCGTCTTTGTTACAATTGGAAAAAGGTTGTCAACTTTTTGACCACTTTGGGTGTCACGAACTATTTGACGCTGACTCTACTCTTTTAAGGCTGAGTTGCACCATCTTACTTTAACTTAGACAAACGTCAAAAATCTGTCAAACGCCATACAAAAAACCGACTCCAAAAAACCTACACTAAAAAGTAGAAAAATAATTACTAATTTCCTACTTATTTATTTAGACAATTAATATTTATGTAGGTATACCATGATTGATACTTCTGGAGTCGGTGCCAAAATTATGAAACATGTAAAGTTTGCCTGCTAGTAGGAAATTAGTAATTATTTTTCTACTTTTTAGTGTAGGTTTTTTGGAGTCGGTTTTTTTTTATAAAATTTTACTTATTTCTTGCTTTTTAGTTAACTAATTATTACCTTGATGTTACCACTGAAAGTAGGCAGTACATTGACACCATATTCTTCATGTCTAGTGTAAATAATATTCCCTACAAAATACAAGTTACCATATAGGAAACCTAAAAAGACCTTAAACCGTCAGCCCACCTTAAAAACATGAAAGAATACAACTGTTGGTCTAATTTTGTACTTATAATATTTAAAGAATTATCCTCCAACTCCAAAGCATTAAGGAGTTGTACCTACCATGACCAATTCATCATGATGAGATGATAAATATCTGATGTAAACACTTGAGTAACTTTAGAAACTATACTTATCTATAAAATTAAAAGAATTATCCTCCAACTCCTAAGCATTAAGGAGTTTTACCTTCTATCATCAGCTCATCAATATGAGATGATGATTTCCAGAAGCAAATACTTGAATAACTTAAGAAAAAGTTTGAAAAACGATATACGTGCCTATAAAATTTGAGGGTTGCCCTTGATTTCCCTAGGATCCCATCATCAGATCCTGACTTGGTGACAATGGGACCACCTCAGAAGTGTACCCTATCGAACAAAAAAAGAATTTTGAAAATCGGTCCACAATTTGACGGAGTAAACGGTGAACATACATAGAAAAAAAAATACATACAGTCGAACATATAACCTCCTCCTTTTTTGAAGTCGGTTAAAAACCACCGGCTATCGTCATAGTTACCGTTAAAGTTAGGTGGTGCAACTCAGCCTAAGTCAGCAATTTTTCTTGCAATAAATAGTGTATTCAAAACAAAGCGCTCTATAAAGCAATTTATTCCACAAAATACACGCCTTGCTTGCAAAAGTAGAGTGTTTTACGGTCTCATAGCTCAAATAAAACTGTTTAGGGGTTTATTTTTCCTTCGTTTCATGCAAAAAACAATATTCATTAAATTAAATTAAGGAAGAGTTACATTGTGTAAACGCCTCTTTATAATGTTTGGTGTGTTGTACTTATTATGTTAGAATATGTAGGTACATTTTATTGAAATATCGTTATACTGCTACCGGTGTGTTTGGTATGACGTCATTCGTACTGATAAAAAGCTATTTTCAGTTGTTTTCCTTTGCCGTAATAATTTCGCTATTTCTGTTGACCTATGGTTTCTGACAGGTGTCTATGTTGCCGTCTGTAAACAATTATTCGGTTTCGATGTCGATGTTTCGTACGAAACGGTAGATGTACGAGTTATTTGGTATTGATATTGTTCTAAGGGTGGGTTGCACTACCTAATTTTGACGGTAACTATGACGATAACAGGTGATTTTTGTATGGAGTTTGACAGTTTTTTGACGTTTGTTAAAGTTAAAGTAAGACAGTGCAACTCGGCCTTAGTGTGCAATATATTACGATACAAATGAATATGTCTACTTGCAGTTAGGTACTTTGTTTCAACATTTGAATATAAAAAATATAAGTGCTTCTTGCACAGCTTGCACTCCTTGAATTTGTATTTGAATTTCGGCTACGTACCTAAGTGTATGTGCTGAGAACACGTAATTAAGTGAATTGTAATAATTATTGTTAAGAAATAAAGTTTTTCTTTTACCTTTTCATATTGTGAATATGGAATAAGTTGAATATTTAGCTGTGTTATTGTGCTTCAAAGTTAATAAATGGATTTAAGTACTAGCATAATAAAAAAAACTTGTTTTTGTATTCGTTTGTATTTCCATCACCCACTACCGGCAGCGCCTAATCCGTACGGCGAGGAAGAGCCAGTGTTCAGGTAATAGACCCCGGGAGAGCCAGCCTTGGACCCCATGCCCATGAAAGCCACCTCTTTCTTCGAACAGAGACCGCTTTTGAACATCGTCCAGTTGCCACACTTGCGTGCTGAAAAGATAGTGTTTTGTCAAACATTATTAGAAAATGATATAGGTACACACTAGACTAGAGAATAAAAACGCATGGACGACAGTTTAGGCTCTCTACCCCTTAAGAAGCGCTTGAATTTTTAAGAACTCTAATTTAAATCTGAACATAAAATGTAACCAGCACTAAGTAGGTTACGCGTCACTGAAGCTCTACATTTACCCAAGCAGAACGATGTTTTTAAGTAAACATACAAATTAATATCCGAAGCTGAGGGCGATATAAAATTCTCAAGGAAGATAAGTTTTATATAGTCCAAAATTGAAATGTATGTCAAAGTTTCACACAGAAAACCCTCGGGTATTTTTGTGTATTCCAAAATTATACATTACCGAAGTCTATGTCAACGATACAAGTTTAATTTCCTCCGGGAGTACAACACAATCTAAGTTACATTTTGCCAAATTGTCGGTACCTAATTTAAGTTATACTTAAATTTACTGTCCAAGTTTAACAATCGTAGATCATTGAACTAAATGAAGTTTACTTTCGAAGTTTCTCATTAATTTCTCTTTGAATTTTGACAAACATTGACCTTATCTTGAATTCACAATATTTCTCAAATGGATCTCTAAATCAAAAAACTTTGTAAGTTCATCATTTTCAGCGTAGGCTGAAGCTAAACGAGCGTAAATTTTTGGGTTATGAGTTGCGTAATTTCGGGCGCATAATTTCTGCTGCATTCGGTTTACGCTTATTACGCCCGTTTGGACTCACCCTTATACTACTCAACCGAAGTTGTGACCGAAGTCTCCAAAATACAATAAACGTGTCCCTGTCGCGGCGTAAGGGGGGGGGGAGGGGGTACTGATTAGCGCATATGCATGACAAGTCTGCGGTCTATCTCATGATACGGGGGGTGCGATTGTCTTTCAATCTTCGAATCGGTAGGTAACCCCAAAATCCTGGGGGGTAGGGGTGCCTTAGGACTTATGACGGGGGGGGGGGGGGTGATCGCCCCGGGTGCCAACCCAGTCCCTGTAAATAAAATACTATTTCCTATGTCTATTATAAACTATAATATTATACGTAATAAGTAGGTACATTAATCCCCGTTTTCAACCGAAGGGATGTCGCCAATTAGATCTGTTTGAAACTCTATCTCACGGGAACCACCGTTTTTGTAGTCTAATTGGTGTACAAATAGAAAACATTAGAAGAAAAACATAAAAGTGTGCTTTTAATACCTTTGTTTGCGTAAATAGAACATCGGTTGTTAGAGATCGTCCGTTCGTTCGTTTCAGCCGAAAGACGCCCACTGCTGGACAAAGGCCTCCCCCAAGGTTTTCCACAATTAACGGTCCTGTGCTGCCCGCATCCAGGCTCTTCCCGCAATCTTCACCAGATCGTCGGTCCACCTAGTAGGAGGCTTGCCCACGCTACGTCTAAGAGATACTCGTAAGTATTAGTATACTAATACATTTTTTCAATTCAATTAGTATAAAATACTAATACTTACTATTCCTCGAAGCGCACCTAAACATGCGGTTACAAATGAAACTATGAACGGTCTACCAGCTGATGTTGTGAAACTAGGTAGGTACTATAACAATTCAAGTGACAAAAAATAACACTTTTACTATTAAAAGTGTTATTTTTTGTCACTTGAATTGTGCAATAACATGTTGTTAATATTATCAAGAAAAACTATAAGTCCTATACTCGTGGTTATTATTTATATTATACCACTAAAAGTAACACCCACCTGGAAAACGCTTCGGTGCTGTAATGGACTCGGCGAACAGTTGCCAAGCCCTGCTGTGGTCGCACGTCGACAAGAAACACCCTGGCTGGGTCATGCCGCCCGCTGGGTAAAAATCCTTTCGTCCTGGATACAAAAGTTTGAATTTAAAGCTGTGTGTGTATTCATTAGGTAACCACTACCGCAACATGGGATGTTCAACATGCCCAAATAGCATTGCACAACATCGTGTACTTGATTTTCTCGCTGATCCTTCTGGGTAGTATCAATCACGGGTACTAATTATTATGGATTTTAGCTAATTTATTGGCCATGGATATTTTATTATATGACTTGTGTTGCTCGTAAATAAATAGTTACGTACTCGTTCTTGTAAGAAACTTTAAAAGAGCCTGACACTTTGAAAGATAAATAATCTAATATTTGTAGCCCGCTCCTTAAACTCCTGGAAATAAATCATTAAGCGTACTTTTGGATTCCAAGCAAAATTTTTGCTTACGCCCAGTATTATCTGTTAACGAGAAGTGTATGGCACTGATTCCTAGAAACGGTTTCAATATTTGCGAAAGACAAATTCCTAGGCCTTTGTGGCTGGTAAATACACGATCTAAAGGTCATAGCAGACTTATCAACTCGGAAAGGCATCACCGTATCGCCTTTCGCGAGCTGTCATCGCCTTGCGCGCTGTCAACCGCGAGGCGAGGCGTTTACGTTACAGTGCGGATAAGTGGACGTTGCAGTATGGAGTTTCATACAAAGAATACTGCCCCAAGTTGATACAGTAACAATCCCTTTCCGTGTTGATAAATGTGCTGCTTATTCAAATTATTCGGTGGGTTCGTTAAGAGCATTAAGGTTTCCACAAACTAGAATAATCTGTTCATTAACTTGGATAAATCTTCCTTAGTGTCATGATTCAGTGCTTCGAATCAACAGATGCTGCTTTAGAAGGAATTAGGCGGCTTAGCGTGAGACGTGACTTAGCACCAAGATAATATTGTTGTGGCCACACTTGAACAACAGACTTGAACGACATAGGCCTAGCCACTAATGATAGGTAGAGTTCAAACTAGGCTAAGGTAAGGAGTCCCACAGCTATTGCAGGTTCAAGTTACAATGTGGAATATTATTTCGTTGTGATGGGTGCTAATTGAAAAAAAAAGGATCAATCCTTGTCAAAAGCTTCACTATCACTATCACTACATAGTATAAAACGAAGTCGCTGTCTGTCCCTATGTATGCTTAAATTACGATTAATTATAATAATTTTGATACGGTTTTTTTTAATAGATAAGTAGAGTGATTTAAGCAGATCAAGCGCCGCAAGTGGAACTGGATTGGCCACACTCTCCGAAGGGACCCCGATCACATCCCTAAGCAGGCTCTGGATTGGAATCCCCAAGGAAAACGCAAACGTGGTCGACCCAGGCAAACTTGGCGGCGCACTGTAGCGGACGAGGCGAAGAAGATCGGCAAGACCTGGAGCGAGATCAAGCGAGAAGCTCAAGACCGAACGAGATGGAGGACTGTTGTGGACGCCCTCTGCCCCATCTAGGGGACATAGGACCATAAGTCAAGTAAGTCAAGAGTGATTCAAGAGGAAGATTTAAATGTATACTTAGCATCCGTGCGAAGCCGGGGCGGGTCGCTAGTTTATGAAAAACAACAAAATTAATTACAAAAGTTAAATAAGTTTTGTTTTGAACATTACTCGTTATATTCATCAAAAGATCCTCCATCTTACGTTATACTAGGTACTTAAAGTATGTTAAAAATATAGGTCACCATGATCAAAAGGGCTTACAATAAGTAAAAAAGTAATCCAATAATATCACTTGTCGTAAAACACATGTAAAACACCACCAACAACGTAAACCGTGTCCAGCATGATGGATGTGGCTAAATCCCCGTTGGATTAGTGAAAAATTGCAACGGGACGTTTTGAAGCCGTTTTTATTTTGTTACCTCAAATACACAACACGTGTTTCACACTTTTAAAAAGTTGACGGAAATATTATTTGGGTTTTTACGGCTGCATTTACTTATCTAGGTCACATCTATAAAATCTAATGCCCGTATTCACAAACCTTACCATGAGGTACAGTGCGCGTGGCCGCACAGGGTGACACACGAACCAATCACAGAGCTCTATTCAACGCTGTGCGTTTGATTTGCTGCTTCACTTAAGCAAGAATCGTTTGTGAATACGGGTTTAAGAGCGTTTACGTCTAGCGTGGCATGTCAAGTTTAGGTAATTTCGATGCTAGTTTTATTCACACTAAAATAATTATGACTGTGTGCGTGTTCTCACGCTCTATAGTCAAACCAAAATACTTTGATCCACCATCGTAAAAGTGTGCCAGGCTGTCAAGTGACAGCCCAAAGAAACTATAAAATCTTCAAATCTTCCAACACCGACTCTATAATTATAAATAATGGTATACATTAGTCCTAATCAATAATAAATACGTAAATTCTTTATCAAATAGTAAATTATCAAAGGTTTTTTACTATTTTGAGAATATTTTATACAGCCTATGTTCAGCAGAAAAAAAAATGAATTTTAATGGTGAGAGATTTTTTCAAATCGGTTCTATTCAAAACAAACTTTTCCTGTTTACTATTCTTTTTTTATCCGGAAAATGCATAACATTTCATACCCACCAGCTGCGGGGGCAGCTAGTGGGTTATGTGGGGTTCTTCCTACCAGAAGGTGGGTAGCCCCTACACCCACTAAAAACCTGACTGTTTCTGCCATGATCCATATGAGTGATATGAGGGAACGCGGGACATCGCCATTGGCTGTTGCCTGTAGCATTCGTCCTTAGCCGCCACCAGACACCTCCATGTCTAGCGACCGAGGCCTGTTAGGAAGGGACAGTTGGAGACCATAAGCTGTCCTCTTGCGCCCAGGGTGTCGGCGGCGGATAACCGGAGTGTCGGCTGAGGCCTCTCGCTCCCCCTTTCCACTGCTTCTTTCTGTGAAAGTGTTCTTTCAGCACGTAAGTAAGCACACTATACCATAAGATTATTTGTCTCATCATATATTTTATACCTACTAATGTAGATATTGTTTCCGAAAGCGAGCGGGTTCATTCCGTACCTGTACGCTTCATGCGTTCTCTAGCAAAAGCTGAAAATCAGTGTTCTGCCCTTTTGAGGGTAGTGTTTATACTGAGCTCTTTGCTTTTTGCATCGCTGCGGCACACATCACTCTGACGCAGGGAACTATTTGAAACGCTAGTCATCTTTATCTTATGTTGTTTTGTCACTTTTGTTATGTTGCAACTGTTGAAATTATTAATAACCTGTGTAACAAAATACCAGTGGTGTCACCTAGTGTGTTTCTTGACTAACTTTATTTCGATATTGAATTGAATTTCAATAGCAACTATACATAATGTGTGTGTTAAAAGCATTAAAAAAAGTGTGTTACAACAAATAAACAGTTTATCTATCTATCTCACGCCTCTTCCCGATTGGTAGGGAGAGGTCATTTCCAACCGCCGCTCGTTCGCTTAGGCTGGGCACTGTTGGAGCGTGTCAGTCTGCTGCGGTGACTCACGTGCCAAGACTGTAGTGTTAACTGACAACCATCTACAGGCTCTCGGCCTATACGGTGGAGGAATGGCCCGAAGCACCCATGGCCCGGTAGAACCTGGGTCGCCCTTTGTGTGAGGCGATCATGCCGTCGCACCCACTCCTCTAATACAGGCAGAACTGCCTCTATGGTGCGACGTAAAATTTGGCTGACGGCCAGGCGTACCCTTCAGCACTCTGGGGCCTAGATCCTCAAGCCTCTACCTTTTGGTTTCCACCTCTCGTGGTGCACGTACACGTACATTTCCCCTTGGGACCTATGGTCATCTCGCAACTGGCGTCTATTCTCGGTTGTCGACACTAGCTTTGTCGCCACTGAGGATAAATGGCATAAATAATATCGATTGTCACCAGTGGTGACACATACTTTCCCAGTTGTAGCTACAGGCTTTCTCACAACTTAGGTATGACAAATTAGAATAATACATCCCAATTATGCCTAGTGGGGACGTACACAAATATTGACGCAAATGTCATCGTGCATGACATACGTAAAGTAAAAGTCAAGTAAGACCAGATGAATACAAATATTATTAATTTTATTTTGAACTAGCGGCCGCCCGCGACTTCGTACGCGTGGACCTCGTTTTACTCCTTAGTTCGTAAAATCTGTTGTTTGATATCATGTTGATAGATGGCGTTTCACGGCTTCCCCCGCATGAATATTTACGAACGTCAAAAACAGTAGTTTGTCCAGCACTGTAGATTTTAACCAATGACGATAGATTGCGCTTTTTAGACACGTCTTATTTATTTATTGAAATTTATTTGTCACATATCGTCATAAATTATAGCCTATAATTATGTTAATCTGGTTTATAAACAATAATACTGTAAAGTTTCAACAAAATCCGTTCAGTAGTTTTTGAGTGAAAGAGTAACAAACATCCAGACATCCAAACGCATTTATAATATTAGTAGGATTGTTATACGTCGCCACTAATGACAATATTTTTTTTCTCATTTATCCTCAGTAGGGACATAGTCAGTGTCCATAGGACTGCGGATACTATGCGGTATCCACGAATTACCTCTGCCTGTGCCTCAGTGATATCATGCGTTGCGCTTTTTTGAACAGTAGGATGCTCCACGACTACACAGCACTGTGCCATACTCGAGCCCCATATAGGACCATATAACGCGCGACGCAAAAGTATAGTCAGCGACTCAGTGCAGCCGGGCCTCCGAGATTAGGCATCAACCGGCTTAGTGCGCCGGCGGTAGCCAAAAGCTTAGGGGTGAGACGATTCAAGTGGCCGTCAAATGACCACTGTCCAACTAACTACAATCCGAGGTACCTACCGCAAAGATTTTCCGACTGTAATATGTTGTGTATGTTCCCCCTACAACTAGGTGGGACCCTGCTGGCAGAGCATTCCTATTAACTATTCTGTAACCACCTATTTATGGCAAATAAATTATTAGTATTATTCCTCTTTATAATATTAGTAGGTATACATACATAACTTGCTGTTCCAAATTTTCGTCATTCGTTTTCGTTTCATCGCTAAAAATAACTTAATTTTATTTTTCATTACGTCTGAAATAGAATTTGTAGTAAAAATAGACTGTAATGAAAAATAACAATAAAATATTTTAATTACCACGTGATCGCAAAATCTACCACCAAGATTTTGCGGATACACTATAAAAGTCCAGCTACCTGTCAAAGATCAACGTACGCGTGACACATGTCAGCAGAGCACCGAGCGACGTGACCTCACTCTGGAACGCCTCGAGGCGGACTGAATTTGAACGATTCGTGCGCGGCGTTTTATAGTACTTTTCAAATACTCATAGAAAAAAAATTACAATGAATTATTTTAAATTTCAAAGTAAATATTTTAGATAAGATATTCTTCTATTATATTAAGCTATTTTTGTGTTGAATAAAGGAAGAATATTGGTGAAAAAATCACTTTGATTTTTGGGTATTTCACGTTCTTTTAATTTGTGATTTCTTATTGTAAAATGCTTAAATCTAAAAATTTTCTCAGATAACTATTTGCCCAAGGATCTATGCTATAGGATATAAATGTTTGTTAAATCGTTTTCACAGTATTTTTATAAAAATTTCAGCTTGTAAACTGACGCTAAAGTGGAAATTTACAAAACCTGTGTGGACTTATCTTGATAGAATTCTTAAATGCTAAACTAATCGCAATATTTTCTCAATTAACTATTTAGACGACGAAATTGCCTAACTATTTATGCCTATAACATATTTGTAGTATTACTGGTTAATGATTGTAACGAGTTGAAAAAGTACTGTTTTTGCGCCAAACGGCGTAAACGCTCTTAAGCATTGTTTAAATTTAAGGTTTTGGTTACATGACGCCCTATGTTTCTAAAAAGGCCGACGGCTTAACGTACCCTCTGGTTGCTTCAATCGTATTATATTTAGGTAACCATGATTCAATCCTGCTATACACATTCAAAGGACACAACAGTTATTTATTATCAATTTGTGTTTCCATCTGGGAATAGAACCCACGACCTGTTTAATCCAATAGGCTAGTTTCCTAAAAATATTTTTTAGTCCGTCAATTTTAATATAAAAAAATATTGGACACGTATATTTTTAATTATCAATCAAACAAATAATTACAAAGTTATAGTGCGTTGAAGTTCCGCGCGACGTCACAAAGTGCTGCACTTTTACGCACTCATTGACTGACGTCACGGGCCTTTTCTTTATAACTTAGGCACGGTATATCTCTTTACATTTTCATTAGTTTTAAAAAGTGAAAAATACGTGTCGAGTAGTTTTTTATAAGCTAACTGACGGACTAATTAAAACTCTTGCTTTTTTACCCAGGAAACATCCCTAATTCATTCAACATAATCAAAAATTTCAAAACGTTTACCTACAGGCTCAAGCAATCCCAGCATCCCTGCATTGGTATGTATCACATCCACGTAGTCCGCATCCCCGGGGTCCAAGCGGCCCTCAAGGCTGATGTTGCTGAAGCAAGGTCCCGCGGGGTCCAGGCCCGCGATCCTGCTGAGCATTTTTCCGGTCAGCTGATGAACCCTTTTACCAGCGATGCCGGCAATGTGGGCTCCAAGACTATGCCCAATAAGGGTTATTTTGGCCGGGTCTTGTCCTTCTGGAATTAAGAAGAGATAGATAGATAAAACGTTTATTTGCATAACAGAAACACATTACAAACAGAGAGTACTAAAAGTAGGATAAAAAAGTACCCACAGGACAATATGACATAGTATGGTGAAGCAGAAAGAAAAAAAACATTGTGACACAATAGAGGACACACTTTATACAGAAAAGTGTGTTGCAGCAACGCAAAACGTCAATAGCTGAGTAATTGGTTTACTAAAAGCAAACCACTGATTTTCAGCTATAGCATAAGGACGAAAAAACGCGCGTAATACGTCAACGCAACGTGACGGTCGAGGTGTGGTGAGATATAATTCAATAGAGATGAAATACAACCCGATCGTGTTAACTGTGCACTTGCAGCAGCCGTGACGTCACCTCGACACTATGGTAAAGACGAGGCGAACTCGGGGAGCTCGAAATTGTTTGTCACTGGCAGTTGCGTCGCCAGTTCCATTACCTTTTAACTTTACTAGATACGAGTATGTGTGTATGTCTATTACATCTTATAAATAACAATTGGCTTTTATAAGGCTTTTAATTGAAATTTTACAAAAGGCTGCTAACCGTAGGTTTTTTAAGTGCTTTTTTAAATTGTTAAACTGAACTTACACTTAAATATTTTCAATATTTTAACAATATTTTTAAAGACCCAAAAGCCTTCATATTAAAATACTTTTAACTTAACTATATTCCAGTTCGAATTTTCAACAAGAAATCAAGTTTTCAATGTAATTCAGAGAAACACTAATGAGCCTTTTGTTCTGGAAATGAGTGAATACGCCCAAGCTAACGAGTTGTATTCGCTAGGGTGAGCTACTAGCAACAATAATTAACTTGAAGTATTAAGTTAAGTACCAGCTTTGAGAATTAGGCAGGAGCTACATTGGAGCTACCGGCGCTGTGCAAATGGAGAGTCAAAGTTTTGGAAGATAAGGGCGTTTTCAGGGTAGTGTTTTATGCGAATATTAGTTTGTTTTGTTGAATTATTAATAATATTTAGTATAAGCATCCCTAACTTAATCTAAACCATGCACAATAAGAAATATGGGTAGGTACAAAACATTATTTTAGCGAGCGCGCACTACGATGACGAAAGATGTTGTAAGTTAGACAGAAAATGCGAATCTAGTGTGAAAGAACCTAGCTATAAATACGAAACAGTTACAATACTGCGAAAGTCGTTAACTTAATTCAAGCTAATCTATTCTGAAATTGCTTAAAATGTAATCTTAGACTAGGCGCAGACCACCGCTTTTTAGTTGGCCGATAGTTGGGCCCGATTCTAATTTGTATGAAGAATCGGTCAAATCGAATCAGCGTAATGTGCGCACTTCCATACATGCCCATATACTGATCAACCGACTAAACTATCGGCCGACGAAAAATCGATGGTCTGCGCCTAGGCTTAATGAGATCTAGATACCTAAGTATTAAAAGGGCTTCTATATAGTTTAAGTTAGGTATTGATTACTGTTAGACGAGCTGTATAAAGTTATTTTAGGTAATAGAGATTTTCCTAAGCAAGCGGCTTATCAAGGTTCTTGAAGAATGTAATTTAAAACGACGAGGCTCAGAAGCCTAGAAAATATAAATCTTTTAGATTGTATTATTTCGCTTGTAAGAATATCAGCCATTGAGTTTTGAATTTTGTGGCATCTTGTTGCGCTGTCAACTCTACACTATAATCATGTGGTAATCTATACAGTGTGTCCGGGCATGTAGTGATCAAACTTTAAGGGCGTAATCTATGGACAATTTTATCGGTGAAAATACTTTAAATTTGGGGCTTGACCCATTTCTCGCATATTTACAAGGATTTAAGTTTTTAATTTTAAGTTTTCACCTCTTCCTTCAAAAANTTGTTAACGAAGCGTTGAATGGCGCGCCCGGAGAGGCTTAGTTCAAACAATCATTGCAAACGTTGTGATAGGGATAGGGACATGCGATTTTTGGTTTTACAAAGGTAATACGATAGAGAATAATACAAAGTAATAAAAACTACCGGTTATAGGGGCATTTTTTGGATAAATTTATCAAATAACCAAAAAATCACGAATTTTTAAGCAGATTTTTTTCAAAAAGTATCATTTTTTATTATTTGTTGGCCTTTTTTGTGTATTTTATGTATTTTTTTAGTATCGTCTGTTATTTAGCATTATTACGGTTTTTATTTTATCAGGATATACCGCTTAGTTTAAAAGTTATTACGTTTTCTTTACAATAGGTAATTGGAAGAAAAAAAATTCGATAAAAAATTAAAAAAAAATCTCAAAAATTTTTTGACCTCTTTTTTGTCGATAAAAATAGGTCAAGTTTCATCTATTTTCATATGTACACTTTAACGTGACTCACACTGTATTTTCATATGTACACTTTAACGTGACTCACACTGTATAAAAGAAAGTCGTGTTAGTTACTCCGCTTATAACTCAAGAACGGCTGAACCGATTTAGCTGAAAATTGTCAGGGAGGTAGTTTAGAGCCAGGAGAAGGACATAGGATACTTTTTATCCCGTTCGAAATTAAAAAAAAGTCTGCTTATTTATTGCCATTAAGGCGGAAGAAAGTTCGCCGGGTCAGCTAGTTAGGTATAAATTACACTACAATAGCGTAATATCCATATTATTTGAATGGAGACTAGACTTTATAGTGCGCCGCAACGCATCGCAAATTCTTTGTAGCAGCAGCCTTACTACAGGCCTTAAGCGCTAGGCAGTTAGTGCCTGAGGTATGGAAGCGGCACGGGAGGGGTGACATTGACGTGTTATGACGTGACGAAGCATTTAAATCTGAAGATCTGAAGTTTCGCTGACGTTTGACGTTACAAAAACACCCTCCAGTGCCGCTCCCAATCCTACCGTTACTTCTTTAGTCTAGTGGTAAAACCACCTGCTTCAGGCGCAGAGGTCCCGGGTTCGATTCCCAGTGGGGGCAGATTTTTCTGTTCGGTTTGGTTGGTGGTAGGGCTTGTTCTAAGTCCGCCTGGCTAGCTACCACCATCTTACCTAAGTCTGTCGCCATTAACAACAATGTAAACAGCATATTCAATACTCGATAATTATGTTTATTGCTTCCTTAAGTACATTTAGGTGTTACATATATTTCGAGATCATTAAAAGGACCCTGTTGGGCGCTGCAAACTTAAAATCTATAGGAGAGGAGGCTTCTTTTTATAGATAGAAAGTTATAGTTTAGTCAGGTACATCGCATTGTTGTGTTCTGGCAGTTAGAGGTAAGATAGCCAGTTCCTCCGTGGTTGAGGATTCCGGGTGAAGCTCGCTTCCACCTTCGGCCTGATCGTCACTTACCATCAGGTGAGATACAGGCCAAGAGCTTCCTCGTTGTGGATAAAAAAAAACTTCAGTCACTGACTGAGTTAAGAGCTAGACAAGGCCTGTTCATCTCCGCGAGTTTACATCGAAAACAAAACACGCACGATAGCCCACCTACAGGATACTATTCGACCAGGCCTCACATACGAGCGAACATTGACTCACGCACGCGTATTCCTGTGTATGATAGAAGAAAATAAAGAAAATGGTGTACTAAATACTGTTACTGCGCAGTATTTAACTGCCTAAATAATAATAAAAACACAGAATGTACTTTTTTAAGTTGCTCAAGACACTGAGAGGTAAATAAGTAGTTAATATTATTCATGATAATTCATGCTAAATCATGTATTTCCTCCGCCATTTTCCGCAGTTTGTCACATCATTTTACCGAAATCAGCCCTATAGCTTCGGCGCAGTGCCGATCACTGACGTTTGTCAACAAAGTGGTGCTTGACTCTTGAGACAGGCTAAATAAATTACACCATATTGTTAATGACATTGAGCATATTTTTTTTTAAATACCTTCGCGAAGTAAAACTTCTGTACGTAGTACATATTATTATACTGTGGCTAGACCTATAATTAGGTTTGTCATTATCACCTCCTTAGCAAGTGAGCGTGGCACGCCTGGAGGCGACTGATTGTGTATTGTTGTGCTTACAAAGCTATGCAAATCTTGCCACAATAACATTGACAAGGGTAACAGCTAAATTGAGCCACGATTTGTCTATGGGAACTACAGAATAGAATGGACTGAAATGTTTCTGATATTTAAACTCCGCTTTGGAAAGTTATCAAAACGTATTTATAAAATAAGACAACTGTTCAATATTGCACCGCCTACGCGCCTGTTCAAAACTCATAGAAAACTAAAATAAATGGCATTATAACGATCGTCTTGGCGATAAAACTTATAGTTTATTATGGATGCAAGCTAACTTGTTCTTCTTAGAGCCCTTTAGTTATTTACCTAGAGTTTGCTATTAATAATAAGCTAGGAAACTTCTACGTTGAGCAATGTAATAACTTTAAGCAATAATCGGAACTGATGAAAAGTTGGAGAAGCTGTCTGAGCTAGATCTAGAGAACACTTAGGAATATAGATTCAATTTCAGTACCCACAAGTGCGAATTGGTTTTCAGATGGGTAATTTGAAGTGAAATTCAATTTTTTTGCAAATTGATGTTAAATTGCACGTTTTGTTGATAAAATGAAGGAAAGAGGTGTGTGTTTGAAGCACTAGAATTCCAATTCGCATGCAAATGGGATAGTTTATACTGTAAAGCAAATTCTAAGAAATGATTTTGTTAAAATTCTGTGACTTAGCCCTGTTATAGGTTTTCAGGTGCTTTGATCAACAAAATAGTTTGGTTTGGCAATTGGTTTGTAAATTACTTTTATAAACAATAATACTGTAAAGTTTCATCAAAATCCGTTTAGTAGTTTTTGCGTGAAAGAGTAACAAACATGTTGACATCCAGACATCCATACAAACTTTCGCGCTTATAATATTAGTAAGATAAGATTAATGTAGTTGCATTACCTTTGATAATTTCACTCAAAAACGCTCCAAGGTTTTCTCCCATGAACCGAGCATACGTCGACGACCTGAAGTACTCCAAGCTGATGACCTTCCGTCCATCCAGGGCCAGTACCACCAGTCCTGGTTGCTTCAGCAGCGACGGCGCAAGACCCTGCACCATCACGCCATCAGAACTCTCCAAGAACCCGTGCACCAATACAACGACATCTCTGGAAGTCCCCAGGAACCTTCTGAACTGCTTATACGCTGTTATGTTGTACTTAATATTGCCGTTTTTGGTGATGTGATCTATGGTCAAAGAGTCTTGGAATGTGGATGCGTATTTCGCTTGCATTTGCTCGTAGGTCAGTCCAAAGAAGCTCTTGAACGCTTCACCTGATAGTACAGACATTTGTATTAATCTACTGATAAAGTCTGAGTGTAGTGGCTCGATGGGCCTTAATGTTATATGCTAAGGTTGTATGAGATGCCGTAGTTATAAGTGAAGTCATACTCGAGATATCTTAGTAACAAAAAGAAGATTTAAGGTTCAGTCAAACCAACGCGATCACACACGATCAGCCGGCGTGCAGCGATTGCATTTAAGTCTGATCGCCATCGCTGCACGCGGTTTGGTTTCGCCCAGAAAATGGGTTAATCCGATTAGCGAATATCTTTAACATGAGGGGGGGATATTTAACGTCTGAATTTCAATTTCTTCTACCATTTGGGAATTAGTGGAATATTACAGACTAGGTAGGTAATATTTAATTTTGTATTATTAATAATACTAAGAATTACCTTCACGAATTACCAACAAATGTTCATTATTTTGCTCAAGATCATCCGTTTCTTAAATTTCCGAGAAGTTTGAAATAAAGAGAGTACCTACCTACTTATGTTGATAAGCCTGTCTAAATAGGGTAGGATAATTTAATAATTTCCAATATGGATGAATGTATAGTGCAATTTATTATTTTGAAACAAAAACGTGTACTCTGGTCGACTGTGTCTAAACACCCGTATTCACAAACGACGCTTGCGTAAGTGAAGCAGCAAATCGAATGCACAGCAGCGTTGAATAGAGCTCTGTGATTGGTTCTTGTGTCACCCTGTGCGTCCACGTGCACTGTCTCACAGTGCATGTGCATGCTGTGGCTGTGAGTAATAATTGTGAATTCGGGCGTAAGTTGATGCCTGTGTTCGATTCTCAGTATAGCCACTAAAAGTGATGAAATGGATACAGGTATGATACAGATCAATCAATGTGTATGATCTCCAGGACATCAACATCTACATTTTGTGTAACAAAATTAACCTACAAGTACCTATACATAAGGCTCTACAGCTTCTTACTTGATATTATTACTTATTAGGTACGTCTGTATACTTATTTCGCCAGACGTCTCTGTTCTTATTTGTCGATAAAATACTTCAAACCCAGCCTAAGTGTAATTGTTAACTTGTTATTAAACAAGTTAACAATTACACTTAGGCTGGGTTGCACCATCTTACTTTAACTTGGACAAACGGCAAAAATCTGTCAAACTCCATACAAAAAGCACCGGTTATCGTTACAATTACGGTCAAAGTTGGTGCGACTAAGCCTAGACATGAGCTCAATCATGGCTAGACTTAGTAAGTTACGAGTACCTAGATATTGCACATAAGTAATAAAGATAAATTATATGAATAAATTTATTACTTAGGTAAGTAATAAAGAAATTCCAAGTTATGACAACATTAAATAGTCTATCGAATATTGATAACTCAATTGCAAAAGTACGATATAATGTCCTGCTCCTGCTGCTCCTGAATCGAATGTACCTACTACTACTATTTCTATTTATTTATATTAACCGGCAGACAGTGGTGATTGAGTTTGTTGCGGCGCTTCTTCTCAGCAGTTGCCAAATGTTGGTCTCGAAGCGCTGGTAGGGTAAAAAGATTATGAGACATGTAGATGCTCCTTAAGAGCAAAATGACGATTTGTAAGAACTATTTATTAGTCTAAACAAATAAAGAAATTTTGACTTTGACTTTTGACTTTGACTTTTACTCCCCATCAAATTATCATTATCTTTTCGCGACTTCCTATCTCCCGGTACAAAATTTTTACTTTCTCGGGACGTGCTTAAAAGCTCAATTTCTTTGATAAAAGATAAGTAAATTACGCGACATCAGACACTTGTAAGCTGTTTTAGACATTATTTGATCTTTTAAGCTCAGCTTTTAGTTTTAAGAATTTAAAATTTTCCATTATTTATAAGTCGAGTTTTGCCGATTCAGTTCAATTGTAACCTTTCAATATTAATTTCGTCAAAAACTATTACTAATTCTCATCATTTTCATCGAAATTTCGTTTATCGCAAATAGTGCAAGGACTGCGCTTTTAAAATGTAAACTTTCTTGAAAACTCGCTCTTTCTACAAATCCAAAATGTATAAGTAAGTATTCATTTTTTATTTCTCTAGGTTTAACTGTTAAACTGGGTATCTAAGTCTTCAGTCGCAGAACTTGGTTCATAACATAAACTATGTTTAAAGCTATTCCAATATAGCTACATTCGACCCGAACGCTGGAATGTAGTAGCAGTAGTTCTATTTGTATACTTTTCACGAATTTTGTTTAGATGCAGAGCGTAATCGCCCTTAGCCTCTACTAATAGCGTCTCTACAAACCCAAGGGGTTCTTTCGAATTAGACATTTTCAGCAGGACGTCTGTCCTGCGTTTGCAAGACCGCAACTATTATTTTTAACTTTTTATCGTGTGCGGTCAGAGGTCAGAGTACAATTTACCATGTGCAGTCCAGCAAACGCCAACAACGTCCGGCTCAAAGTCAAAACGTCTCACTTGAAAGAGCTCTAAGGATGAGTTGCACCATCTTACTTTGACTTTGACAAACGTCAAAAATNAACAACAACTGTCAAACTCTATACAAAAAGCACCGGTTATTGTTACGGTTAAAATAAGGTAGTGCAACTCAGTGTTAGTGTACGTACTCACATCGGTTAGACCCTGCAGCCACTATCGGGTGTATGGCTGGTAATGCTGCCTCCATGATGGAACCCATGCTGAACTTGGAAGTATCCTTGTGGGGCACGCTCGCTGCATACACTCCAGACATAAAAAGCAGGTACAAACATAAAACTACCCCGTCTTTTGCTTTCCCTGGAATTAGAGAGTATGAAGGTTTTTCAAAGAGGAATAACAAAGTCACTAGTTAAAACGTCATTTAGTGTATTTTCAGGCTTCTTTATTTTTGAAATCATAACATTTCAGACAGATTACACCCACGATGTTCTAGATCTAGACGTTTTTGTATGAATATGAAGATAAATCGTAGAGTCGATCTTAAGGCTGGGTTGCACCATCTTACTTTAATTTTGACAAACGTCAAAAATACAAAAACAAAAACTCCATACAAAAACACCGGTTATCGTCATAGTTACGGTCAAATGTGGTGGTGCAACTCAGCCTAAGTATTTTTTGTAAAAAAGTGCTATACAAGAACCCCAACCCTCATTACAATTGTCATTACTCTACTCGACATGTTCAATATTCTGTCTCATTCCTCCATTCCTCAGTATTCACATCACGAGCCACAACACCATTACGGCGTACGAAACTGTCAACATTATGAATCCACTTTGCGAAGATAGGGGCCCATAAAATTGCTGTTTTCACAACGTATAAAACAACTTACAACCACGCATTTTGCTCCACATAGGACACTGCAGCTGGTAGGGACACCATAACGCAATTGGTCAACTAATTTGTATGGTTTCACCACAGAATTGCGGACTTAGATGCTTAAAAGTATGGACTTAACAAATTCATGAAATAAATTCAAAATGAAAATCTCTTTTACCTTCAGATATCACAATATTAACTACTCCAATGTTCAAAAACAAATCGCAATTTCAAACATTGTAAATAAAATTACTACAAATTATCTGGGGGCACGGTAGTGCCCCCACCAAGTCGAGCAAAAAAGCGGCACGGCCCACGGTGGATAAATATATTGACTTGGCCATCGCATGAAAACACGTGTAAATTAAATTATTTAGTGCGATGGCCAAGTCAATAATTTATGTAAAACGTTAAAGATTTCCTGGCCTGGACTTGGTATTACATGGATCTCACAACTTTTTACCGTAGAACAACTGAGTTGCGAGACTTGGTTTTTTTGACAAGTATTGTTTTTGATGGGATCTACTTGTCTCAGCAACGGCCAATGGGCATTGCTCGTAACTCAATACTATGATTGAATTAGTAACTTGAAACAAAATGTTTTAAATTCCAACTACAGTTTTAATTTAATACAATAAGAGACAGAAAAAAAAAGTAAGATGGAACCCAGGCTAAATTACCAAGATCGGTGATCGGTGTATCAGTGCGGGTCATTATAATATTCACTGTTGTTCGAAAGCGCTGGAGCTAAGAGCCGGCAATTATATTTCGTATATAAAGACACGTCGAGGTGATTTGCTTCATTCATATCTCTGCTTGGATCTGATGTAAGTACCTCTAAGCATTGTATGAGATTTCGCAACATTTTAACTTTTTAAGTGATGTGAATGACAACAAAGTTTATAATGAATTGATAGCAAATACAACAAAAATAAGAAAAGCATTATTACAATTAAATTTATTTTATATTTTAATCATATTAAAAGGTACCTAAATTCTTAAAAAAAGAAATAAATAAGAGTGTTATAAAAATACGGTGGCATCAAAACTAATTTTTATAATCTTATTTTGAGTGATATGGGTAACTAATATTATTGGTGTGCCTCTTTGTCATAAGGTTAGCTCATAATGATTATTAATAATAAAGATGATGTTATGTTGATCTGCATCTCATGTTAATAATAATAGAAGACTATTCCCACCTCTCGTTCCCACCACTGCAACTCCTGTGTAGCCAGGATCTACAGCTTGACCGCCACAAAAACCCAACCAATGAAGGTCAAGTTTGTCCCGGGGGAAAGTTAAACTGTCATTGGACNTTTAATACTTGAAACAATTTTATAGTTTTCCATTATTTTCCATTACAGTTTTCAGTGTCTTATCGTCATGTTCGATCGTAATGTAGGGAGTTAATAGACAAAACCTGAAGTAATAAAATTTTATTATTGACTATGACGTATGCAGAGACACGCGAGTGCTATGTGCAATGTGCATTTAAATGCACCGACTTGCTGTATTAGATAAAAATACACGGATTAAGTTCATCATCATCATCATTTCAGCCATAGGACGTCCATTGCTAAACATAGGCCTCCCCCATGATTTCCACATCGCCCGTTTGGAATGGCCTGCATTCAGCGCCTTCCTGCTACCTTTATGAGGGTCGGTCCACCTTGTGGGTGGACGTCTTACGCTGCGCTTTCCGGTACGTGGCCTCCACTCCAGAACCTTGCTGCCCCATCGGCCCTCAGTTCTGCGTTTACTACGTCAGGTATAAAATAAGTTAAATTAATTTAAAAAGCTTATAGTTTTCGTGGTCAAATCCAAATCAGCGTGCCAGCTCTGATTGCTATCGTTTCAAATATTACAGATACCCATATTTAGTTCCGCCAGTAACCATCGTTATGGTGCAACAGAATCAGATACAATCGTACAACTTACGTGTTTGTCATTTGTTTTGATTCGCTTTCAAAACAATTGATAAATAATAAATTGTCGTAGTTCACTTGTTTATAATGATACCAATTTAGTTACTAGGTGCACTAGCTTTTTTCTGTGTCTTCACTGTAATAGATCTACTAATAAATAGATTGATTTTGTAACAGACAAAATAAGTTAAGTAATTCCAAAGAAGGCGAATTTTTTTCATGTCGGACGACGTCATCGAGTTAAACACAGTTTCATCTTGTGAAGTTACAAAAAAAGATATATTTTTTTTTAACAAAAATGTTGTACTCAGGTGTGCTGTCGTCTCTACAGTAAAATTAATAATGTAAGTAATATAATTTTCAATAAATAATGGAATTTTTATCCAGAAATTTGAACAACGGATCCTAAAAACAATATTTTTCTTTTTTTTTTTCTTTCTTTCTAAAAACCTAATGTCACCATGATGAGTTAAGTATCTGTTTTGTCATCCAGGTAAATGAGATAAGTACATATTTTGTTACAAAGGTAAGAGCCACAACACACAATGCTACTTTTTCCCATTGGCGATCGGCTATTTACTAACTACTGTTTAGATGCAGCATGGCGATTACGCGACTTAATGCGGTATCGAAATCGCGTGTTTTAGCGACTTGATCAATGCAGCATCGCGATTTAAATCTAAGATCTACATGGCGAGTAGTCCACTGCTGGGGCAAAGGAGAGCATGCGATGATTTGCGAATGATACATGGCAACTGACTGTAAATAGCGTCATCAGTGATTAGTCCAATCCCACATCATCTGCTGTCGTTCCTACGGCAATAAGCAAATAGGTATGTACAAGAATCTACACTAAAAATCAAATGTCAACATACCTGTTTTGTTATCCAGGTAAACTTGATAAGTGCCTATTTTGTCACAAAGGTAAGAGCCACAGCGACTTAATGCATTCGGACGCGGTATAGGAAAAGTATCGCCAAAACGCGCGACATTTTAGCGACTCTATCGATGCAGAATCGCGATTTCGCCACTTCATGCGTTCGGAATCGCGCGTTTTAGGGACTGCTGTCGCTGCGTCCAGCGTCTGAAAAGCAATTCAATCGACACGTTTAGCGTTTTTGAGTGTCAGCTTTTAAAAAGTTGCATGTGTGTGGCTCTAAGGAATTGATTGTTTCTAGATACGCACGGTTACGTAATAACATTACTTTAGCATTCCATGACAGATACTTATCGCTGATGTCAAACGGTTGTTTTGGAAGGTGGTAGTTTGCGACAATTACGTCCGCTACGACGCCCCACTGTTTGTTCCCATGACATTAATTGTATACCTTTAAAGTGCAAGTCAACGATAAGTGCGTCTTTAATGACTTTATCAAGAACTCATGGTTACGTTACATCGGGTACATCGAAACGAACTCTCCGGTAAGACGAAATTATGACATATTACAATAGGGATGTTTCCTGGGTCCAAAAGCAAGAGTTTTAATTAGTCCGTCATTTAACATATCAAAAAATACTTTACACGTATTTTTCACTTTTTCAAACTTATGGAAATTTAAAGAGATAAAGCGCGCCAAAGTTCATAAGAAGAGGACCGTGACGTCAATGAGTACATAAAAGTGCCGTACTTTGTGACGTCGCACTATGGATCGAAATTGCGATTTATGGACATAGCGATTGTTTTCACAATTTCTATTTGAAATCGACCACTTTATGTTTCATTCCATACAACGAAAATGGTTTTTTTTCCAGTCAAACTATTGGTTTTAGAGAAAAACTTGTGCAACATTTATTCATCAAAATAACGTAACGTATCGATAGGTATTTTTTTCAAATAGAAATTGTGAAAAAAATCGCTTTGTCCATAAATCGCAATTTCGATCCATAGTACGTCGCGCGGAACTTCAACGCACCATTACTATGTAGGTAATTATTTGTTAGATTGACATATAAAAATATATGTGTCCAATATTTTTTGATATTAAGCATCATCATCATCATCATTTCAGCCACAGGACGTCCACTGCTGAACATAGGCCTCTCCCAAAGACTTCCACATCGCACGGTTAGTAGCGGCCTGCATCCAGCGCCTTCCCGCTAGCTTTATCAGGTCGTCGGTCCACCTTGTGTGTGAACGTCCTACGCTGCGTTTTCCGGTACGTGGCCTTCATTCTAGAACCTTGCTGCCCCATCGGCCTTCAGTTCTGCGTACTATGTGCCCTGCCCACATGATTTATGGATATTAAGCATGACGGATTAAACAATTTTTTTTAGGAAACTAGCCCATTGAAAAATTTCCAGCTCACTACTACCTATTCTTTTTTTTATGTGATAGGAGGCAAACGAGCAGACTACTTTTGTCGTTTCAAATATAACTCAGCACTATTTTGTGGATTAGGACAATTATTGGTAAAGAGCTATTAGCCAACAAGTAATTTCTGCTATAGTCATAGTCATTTATTCCGTAAACAATACCATATTATATACCAGTTTAAGTTTGTTTACAAGGCACAAAGTTACTTCAAACACCTAATTAGCAAAAAATTAAATGCACGCTGCGTTATGGAAAGAATGTCCAGTAGTAGGAAGATTGATAATGATTATGATGACAATAATTATGATACCATCATTACTATAATACATCATGAAAATAATTTTAAATTTATTGCTGAAGGTGATATAGTTTTAGACCGAGATGAGCATGAATCTTATGAACCACAACACATCAGAAAACGATACACATACGAGTACAACAGCATACTTGAGTTATGCAGTGGAACAATACTATAAATAAAATCCATACCAAATGGAATATTTTATAACACCTAATTATTAATAGCTCGACTAACTATTTAGAATATGCCGGAGATGCCAGAAGTGGCAGAGATGACGTCAAACTGAAGAGGTTGGTATAAGAATAGGTTCAGCTAACTTAAGCTCATCGACGAGCAGGAATGCTTGGATTAAAATAATTCTACTTATTTATCGTTTAATAAAAGAACCCTAACTTAAAATTTTTACTTTGTATTAACTATTTTATTTCTTTTTTTTTTCTGGGTGATATTATGTTATAACAAATACACTAATATTGTCCAAGACAAGATTGCTATGCGGCTTTAAAAATGCTTAGTAGGAGGCGCACTATGATAGTTTTTTTTTTCATTCAAAGATTAAAGGTGACGCTATGATTCGTATTGATAATCCGATCT